CTCAGTCTCTGTTGTCATCACTCTCATGTACAAGAGCTCTCTATGTACCTGATCCAGAGGTGGGTGCAATTACTATCCTCATTTGACAGACGAAGAAACAAGCACAGAGAGGTTAAGTAACTTGGCCAAGGTCACACAGCTCCCAAGACACAGAGCCAGGACTTCAACCTGGTGAGCCTGGCTCCTAGAGTGCATGCTGTTAACTACAGCGTGACGCACAAGCCGGAGAGATGGACCTGGCAGAGTCATGTGGCGATCTGGTCACTGCAGGCAGGGCTGGCAGTAGCAGAGCACCGGGGTGCAGGCTGGGCTCCTTTTTAGTGCGTGGTGAATTTTCAGGGTAACTGTCACTCTCCCCTTTAAATACCCAAACCCATTTTCTTCAGAAGCTCTTTCCAAACCAGACTGTACATCGTCCTGCTGTATGTACTTTAACCTTTTCTTGAGGACTCGGGCCACTGTTCTGATTGCCGATGCTCGTAACCACAGCAGGTCCTCAAGTGGCGTCACGTCCTCCAATGTTGTTTTGTTATAACTTTGATGAGCTGCTGTAGGCACTTGACTCTTGTTTATATGTTGTTTCACTTAAAGTCGCGGAACCTATTGATGGTGTTGAGGACTTAACTGTGTTCTAAAATATTGACTCTGAAACCCTCAGCTTTCAGTTTCTCATAGCTGTTCCTACGCATGCTCCCAGTACACCGCGGGCTGAGAAGCCAGGCGACCAACCCCATCAGAATCCTGTGCGCAGTGAGGGTTTATAGGTGCAGAGTGAGGCTAGAGCAGTTTCTTTTTTTTTAAGATTTTTATTATTTATTTATCTTTAGAAGGGAAGGGAAGGAGAGAAGGCGAGAAACATCAATGTATAAGTTGCCTCTTGTGTGTCCCCTGCTGGGAAGTGGCCTGCAACCCAGGCATGTGCCCTGACTGGGAATCGAACTGCGATCATATGGTTCGCAGGCCCGCGCTCAATCCACTGAGCTACGCCAGCCAGGGCTTAGAGCAGTTTCTTTAAGACAAACAGGCCTTAGCTTTTGCACAAGGAAATTTATGAGATTCAGTTTGGTTGCTCATTTACATGTTTTTGCTTATTTCCTGGTTCATGGTTGTGTGTTGAGAGCTGCAGGAACTGGACGGGCGCCCTGGATGTCTGATTTACAAACTAGAGTATCATCAGACTTCCAGGGCAGTTTTTCACAGCTGCCTGGAGTCTTATTCTGCACTCTGAGGTGAAACGTGGGTCTCTGAATGTTGAAAGCTGTATTTGGAACCACCAGAACTTACTGAGCACCTACTGTATGCTCGCAAGTGCTGGGCACTATGCACAAGAAAACCTGCAAGCCCAGTTCCCGTGCATTACCTCAAACTGAGTAGATGAGCTGCAGCACCGGAAGCCTACCTCTCCTGCAGGTGGGGCCGGTAACAGTGGTGCTGCAGCACAGTGGGCGTGTCTGCAAGAGAACGGCCCGGGGTCCACAAACCGGGCTCTGAGTTCCCACTCCCAGACCTGCCAGCACACCCACATCCTCTCTAAACACCAGTTTCCCCATCTGTAAAACGGGCATAATCCTCTCTCCGTCCCACGGCCATGATGAGAGAATGCCTGGGAAAGCACCGTGTACACTGTAAAGTGCGGTCCACACGTGTGCAGTGAGACCGCTGCAGGCTGCAGGGAAGACCGACCCACTCCGGGTACTTCCAGCCACGAGGCTTTACTGTAAGGTTGTGCGGGGGAGGTAGGGAGACTGGCAGGGGTTTCGTCACACAGAGAGCAGCCCTCCAGGACAACCGGACCCCGGTGCTGGAGCCCTTGGCTGCTCACGCCCAACCCGATTATGGACTCTCTGCCTCCTGTCTCCTGATGTCTCCGGGCTCCTGCTTGCTACCTTCTCCTGATGGAGTCCTTACCCTCTGCCCGCTTAACTGTCCTCTGCTTTTCAAGCAACCTGGTGAGAGAAAGCTGGCATGGTGAGCCACTTGTCAGTACAGAAGGTCCCCACGGGCAGGGTGTTAATGCTGTGCTCCCCGCTCTGTGCCCTTCACGCGCATCCAGTCTGTAAACCGTTGCCCGTGTGTTGGCCACACCTCGGCCCCGGCCGTTGTGGCTGGAGCTCTGTGCCAGCAGCACAAGGTTGGGGCCGGCGGGTGGGGTGCCCGCGGGGAGGGCAGAGCACACTGCCCGCTGAGGAATTCGAGCTGTCGTTACAGAGGGAGGACTTCGTTAAGGCAGTTCATCCAGCCAGCAAGCAGCACCCGCCTGTTGTGTCTCGCGTGCCACTCAGTAGGGGCCAGCCACGGGCCAGGCTGTGCAATCGGGGAAGGCCGCGGTGTCCCAGGTGTCCACGTCCTGCAGGTTTCTCAGGTGGATGACACTCTTCTCAGCAGCCCTGCCCCAGGCTCCGGCTCCTCCGTGTGTGCTCCCCAGGCCGGGGATTAGAACCTGCGCAGGGTGCTGCTCGCAGCCCCGGACCTGGTGGGGAAGAGTTAGAACCTGCTTATGTGTGCAGCAGTGGGGATTAGTGACCAATATTTGGTGTATTTAAGTGACAGCGTGCACTCAGGCATTAAGAGTTGCATGATCAAAGTGTACGAACGACACGGTGTAACAGTGAGGTGCCCGGCTGGCATTATGTATGCGGGTATGTGAGCGGGTGTGTGTATAAACATGTGTTATTCACATGGGGAAGAGGCAGGGAGATTTGATGTAAAAAGTGTTAGTAGGGGTTATCTCTGGGTGACATTTTATGAGCAAATTTTGTTTTCTTGTTTATGCTCTTCTCTTTTTCTATGTTTTCTACAATGAATATATTATTTTTATAGTCAGGAAAAAACCCATAAATACCACTAAAAAACCAACAACCAGCCAAACTCTGTCCTTAGAAAAGAAACTGATAACTCATTTCTCTTCCACACACTTGAAGATTCACAGTTCCCAAGAGGGAGAGCTGTGTTTTCCGGGAAAATGAAGTTTTTCATTAAAGATCTGACACACAGCCCCGCCTGGCGCGGCTCAGTTCATTGAGTGTCATCCTGCAAAGCCAAAAGTTGCCGGTTCGATTCCCAGTCAGGACACCTACCTGGGTTGAGGGCCCGTCCCCGGGTGCACGTGCGAGAGGCAGCCAATTATTGTTTCTCTCTCACACCGATGTTTCCCACCCTCTCTAACCCCTCCCTCCTCCTCTCTCTAAAAGTAAGTGAATGAAAACTTGAAAATAAAGAAAGGTCTGACGTTCTACTGGTGGAATGCCACCTAATGGCGAGGCACGGAGGACAACAGGCGTCCTTCTCGGTGTCCCTCTGGGGCGGCTGTGAAAGTGGCCGGAGGTCAGGTAGGTAGAAGGGCCCAGAGTGGACAGAGCCAGGACACTTCCCAGACAGACCACCTTGTCACCAGCATATTTAAAAGGAATTGGAGTGAAATGGACATTTATGTTGTCAGTTACAGCGGTGACCGAGTTTTTGTTTCCCTTCAGGGAAAATCACTGTCCTCTCCCTCCAAAGGGAAGAGAAGGGGAGAGAAGGAGCCTTAGCAAATTCTATCAAACCGTCGCCACGGAGGAGCTCTGGGAGTGAGGGGGAGGGGCGAGGCCCGAGGGGAGAGGTGAGGGCATTTGCCTTTTACCTTGGCCTTTCATACAGTTAGAAAAAAAGAGAGCATCACTTTTTTTTGTGATGTGGGTTTTTGGTAGCCTTCAATTTTTTTTATTGTGAACACAAGATACCTTTATAATCAGGAGAAAAATGTCCTAATGAAAGGACCAACCTGTGGTTGGCCCCTGGGTGGCCATCCCGCTGTTCCCACCTGCAGGCCACCGACCGCCCTCACTCTGGGGCCGGAATCCTCGGGCTCGAAGCCGCCCACACTTGGCAGGGGATGGGAAACAGGGTGGAGAACAAGCAGCCTGGGTCCTCTATTCTGCCACCCCGGCCCCTCTGGGCAAATCTCTGACCCCAGGGCGGCAAACCTGGTCAACTCACTTTGGGTTCATGGTCTTAGCTGTTCCCCCAAGCTTGGCCCCGTGTGCGCCTCCCTGCCCTCTGCCAGCGGCCAGGCCTCCCTGCTTCTCTGGACTCCAGCCTGACCCCTTCTGACCAGCGCTTGCCTGGGGCTGGGACTGCCTAGGCATTTCACTCACAACCGCTTGGCGCCTGGCTGAGAATTCAAGGCTGCAATTGCAATCTCAGGGAGCTGTGCCTCCAGCCTTCACAGGGACTGTCGGGAGTTGACTTGACCATGGAGACAGATCAAGGCTCACCCTCTCAGTCAGCAGCAGGTGAACATAGCATGAGATCCACAGAGAGCCCTGAGAGAGAGAGGGTGCCCCGCCACAGCTTGATGAGGCCGTCTGCCAAAGCATCACAGACATGGGGTCCTGAGACACCTGTCAGGTCGCGCCTCCTGTAAGTGTGATCCCAGCTGGGGGTTACAGCGCGTCCCTCTGAGCTGCGCTTCCCTGCTCTGTAACATGGAAATGAAAATGACGTCTTCTGCCTGGGGACTCCATCGGGAGCAAATAGGTTAATGTCTGTGAAAATGCTTTGTGAGCTGAAAGTGCTCAAATGGTATTTTCTGTGAAAACCCATTCTGGCATTTTGAGAAGTTTTTTAAAAAAACCCAACTAGTTTTCAAGTGTTTGTTACTCACCGACTACGTGTGCTCAGCACTCAGCTCAGTTCCCCAAGTGAGTCAGGAGACAGAAGGTGCATATGGCTTGGAACGTGGGCTCGATGGGGAAAAGGAGCACTCACATTGAAAGTCCATTTTCTTTCTGTCCGTGATTGGAAGCTTCAATGAGGGGATCCTCCGCTGGCCCCGCAGGCAAGGGGCCGGGGAAGGGCCAACAGTTCCCACAGAGGTGGACAAACCTGAGCACAGATTGAGGCTCTTCCGCTCACTGAGTTCCCAGAGACTGTAAGCCGGTTTCTCTCACTGGGCCTCAGTTTCCCGGGATGTGGAAAGAAAACTGTGATGGCCACCACATTAAATCACGCTGAGAATTACACTTACGCAGCAGGGGAGGCACCATGATCACGAAGGTGGTTTTCCCAGGGCGAGGCTTATCCATTGCCCTCCGGATGCGCTGGCCCCTGCGATTTCCCCACATGCGGGAAGCTCCACTGCATGATTGGTGGTCGTGAGGGGCTGCGTCCTCGCTCTCCCCTGACAAGAAAATAAAAACAAGTAAATAAATAAGCCGCGGTGAGACTTAAAGAAAACAATGCATATCAAGTAATTACATTGGACAATATTATAAATACCTCCAAAGTGAGGAACTCATCAAGGTTCCCCCTTTCTAAAAATTTTACTTTTAATTATGGTAAGAAACATAAAGTTTACCATCATAACCATTTTTAACTGTATACAGTTCAGCAGTGTTAGGTATATTCACATTGTTATGCAATAAATTTCTATCACATTTTTTACCTTGCAAAACTGAAACTCTGTACCCATTAAATAATAATTCCCCATTTCCCCCTCCACCAGGTTCTCAGTAACCACCATTCTACTTTCTGTTTCTGTGAACTTGACGACTTTAGTTACCTCCTGTAAGTGGAATCACGCAGTGAATTTGTCCTTCTGTGTCTGGCTCATTTCACTAACATGATGTCCTCGAGGTCCATCTATGTCGTAGTGTGTAACATGTAGCATTTCCTTCCTTTTTAAGGTTGAGTAATACTCCACTGTGTGTATAGGCCATAGTTCACTGATTCATCTTCAATGGACATTTAGATTGCTTCCGCCTCTTGATGGAATTATAGATAACACTGCAATGAATAAGAGTTTGCACATATCCCCTGGAGACCCTGCTTTTAACATTTTTTAAGATTTTATTTATTTACTTTTAGAGAGAGGAAAAGGGAGGGAGAGAGGGAAAGAAACAGCGATGTGGGAGAGAGACATTGACCAGCTGCTTCCCACGCACCCCCCAATGGGGACCTGGCTGGTAACCCAGGCATGATCGAGAATCGAACCAGCGGTCTTTTGGCTTGCAGGACAGCACTCAGTCCACTGAGCCACACCAGACAGGACTAATTCTTTTGGACATACATCTAGAAGTAGGATGGCTGGATCCCATGGTAGCTCTGTTTTTGTATCCTTTGAGGAACCGCCATACTATTTCCCAGTCACAGCATTTTACAGTCCTACCTGTGGTGCACGAGAGTTTGGATTTCTTTACGTCTTTGTCAATACTTCCGTTTTTTGTTTTTTTTTTTTAAGAGTAGCCATCCTAATGGGGGTGAGGTAAACAGGGTCTCTTTTTGCAAAACTGTTGGAATTGGTTCTCAACCCTCCAGTAATCTCCTAATGAGTCCAATTATGGGATCGACCCCACATTCGGTCCAAGGAGTGTGTTTCCTCAGCGATCCTTGCAGAGCCCAGCAAAGCTGGCAAGGTGCCAGCACTTTGGACCTGCTGAGAGCTGGGCGCCCCTGGCCTGCATCTGTGCAGGGCATGGGAGCTGCAGAGGCAGGCCAAGTCTGCTGCTACATTTGCTTTGGCTGAAGAGACGCCACCAAAGAAACAAGGCACTGGCCTGGATGGCCAGATTTTCTGTGTGGCCACAGTCACCCTTCTCAGTGGCCTCTTACCACTGTTATCTTGCTTTTGACATCTCTCCCCAAGGTTACCTTGGGGGCAGAACTTGTTGGGAAGTTTAAAGCCAGGTCTGTTTGGCTCTGTTGAGCAGACTCTGGGGGGAGGGCCTCGAGGCACGGCGGCGGGCCAGGTACAGAGGTGGCCTGCACTGGGCGCTATACAGCTGGAGGAGGTCCCTGCATTCAGGAAGATGCATCGAAAGGTCAGCTGCTGCCCAGGAGAAACAGACGAGGAACAGAAAATTCCAGATAGGAAGCTCAGCAGAAAAAGAACACCCGCTGGCTCTTAGGGGTGCAGCTGAGCAGGGCTCGCAGTGGTTAGATCATGGATTGTAAAGTCAGGAGACCCAGGGTCAAACCTAACCAGGCTCCACCACTGTGTGGTCTTGGGCAAGCCATGGAAACTCTCTGAGCCTCACTTTCTTTATCTGTGAAATGGGAACAAAAATGCAAACTCAGGAAACTGTTGTGATCAGTATCGTTTATCAAACAGCTCTTGTTCATAACGCACCCCTTTAAGCATGCAGACCTTGGTTAAAAACCTAGATCTGCTCCTTATTAACTGTGGGACCCAGAGGAGGCTCTAACCTCCCTGGGCCTCAGTCCTCTCATCTGTGAAATAGGGATGATAAATAGGAACGATAATGCCTGTCCCCCTGGTCTGACACAGGCGTTGGTGAGGTATCACACAGTGCTTTCATGCAACAAATGTTTGTGACATACCTACTATGTGTCAGCACTCTGCTGGGGGCAGGAGATCAAGGGTGAATTAGACCAGCGAAACTGCTCATTTTAATACTGAGATGGGGAAGGTTGGGGAGCAGGGCATTCCACGGAGTTAGAGGCTCGCAGCTGGGTTTGCGAAGCGCCTTTACATAGAGTAAAGGTGGCTGCGATCCAAGCCTGGTGGAGCTGATGGGGAGTGGGCATCGCTTGCTTCCAGGCCTCTCTCGGTGCCTGCCCTGTTTTTCTGGACTCCTGTGTGGCTCTCCGGCCTCAGAGGAGCCTTGCATTCTGTCAGTTCCTTCTTCCCAGTGCAGATGGGAGGGGGTGTCCTGAGGCTTTGAACCCATCTCGGTGCCTCCCAGCCCACAGAAGAGGCTCCATGCAGCTCATGAGCAGACAGGTCTCTGGTTTCACATCAGGAATGAAGATGCCATCAGTGTGAGGGCAGCCGTGGTGGCCAGGGCAGTCTGTGGCTCTGGAAGAACGCTGGTGTGGCGTCTCAGGGCCGGGAGGAAGGGTGGTTTTCCTGCCCAAAATGTCCCCCACGAGACCCACTGGTGACTCTCGGTCCCTCATTTTCCCTGGAAGAGTGTCCTGGGCACACTTTCCTGCCTCTTACCCAGCTGAGAGCCCACAGGGGCAGGCACGCTGGTGGGGGCTGCTTTCAGCCTCCCTCCACAGTCGGTGCAGCATGCGCCTGCTGCCTGTGTGCGGTCCCACTCCTGTGTGTTCAGGCTCCCAGCCTCCCAGCCCCAGGGGTGACCCTGCTCCTGTCGCCAGGGGCACGTGGGAGGCCGACAAGGCAGGGGTGGCCGAGATGGTCTCCTGTCACAGTAGTCAGAGCAGGAGAGCATAAGAGCTGGGCTGGGTGCCCTGGCTGAGCCCAGAGGAACGCAGGACTGGCCCATGGCTGTGTCACTGGCCCCAGCGGCAGCCCCGCAGTGCGCCTGCCTGGGCCAATTCTTCTTCCCGCATCCAGGGAGGCGCACGAACCAGCCACCCAGTCTCTCCTCCTCCTCCAAGTCCATCACCGTTTCCACACACACAGCAGGGTCTGTGGGGGTGGAGGCTTTTTCCAGACATGTATTTAAGTGAGGAGAGAAAACAAGGCGAGTCGCCCAGGATTTGCCAAATCAGTAGGCAGGAACGCAACCCAGGAAGGAGGCCAAAAATAAGACGCCAGCGAGGGTCACTCTCTTCTCCTGAGCAGCAGTCTGTGCTGAACACGCTATAATCACACTTTTATTTGAGTCTGACCCTTGATCCCAGGGCACTGGTTTCCTGGTCAGAAGGTAGCAGAGCCCTGCCTGTGGGCAGTGAGTAATGGTGAGTCAGGGAAATTCACAAGGACACAGGGAACACCCCCAGTCACCGGGGACAGGCCCTGCTTCCCCCTGCTGGTCGGGGAGCCAGGAGTTCTGGCCCCACCGAAGAGGAGGAATTTCTCAAGGGCTTTGGCAAAATTCAATGGGATCTTTCAGAGGAAGCATTAGGCTTTGAATGTTTTTTGGGGGAACTTATTAAGATTTTTTTACCTTCATATCTATTTATGAATTAGCTCCTTTTCTCTTTTAGCTCCAAAGTATATTTATCTCTCTATTCTTTTGGGGGCATTTGTTACCTAATGCTCCAGAGAGCAAATAATGACAGTAATAACCGGGCGAACATGTATTCAGCCTTCAAACATGCCGGGTACTGGTTCCCCCACAGATTCGTGTCTCTTCAAATCTAAGGCTCCATCAGCCTTCAGGTCCACCCTTCTTCATGTGCCACTAAGGAATGCACGACATGGCGTTGACTTGAAGACTCACCTGACCTCAGAACTGTTAAACAGGGAATCGTAGAACCAGTGAAATGCAGTAACTAATCCTCACTTGTCAGCACGCCTCCCAGGTGGGTGACCGAGGAACGGAGGGGCTGAGTAAACCCGTCCCGATGTTGCGTAGCAAGTCCGTGGTGGAAAGGGGACCCGAGCCCAGAGTGGGGCCCCGAAGCCTGTGCCATCTTGTGTGAGTGAGTGACATCTGTCTATGCGCAGGGCAGAGGGAAGGACACACAGAAAAAGGGGGAGAGCGGGGCCTCACCCCCACTCCGTCCCCCCAGGACCAACGCTGAACCCTGCTCGTGCTCCTGCTCTTGCTCCCAGCAGTGAGCACCCTGGCTCTGTGCTTCCTCACGTCTCTCTCGATCCTGCTTGGACCGTTGCAGTAACCTCTTAGCTGTCGCCTTCCTCCAGCCCCCCTCCCCCACACACAGGGAATGAGGGTCATCTTCCCCAAATGTTAGTCTGATTGTTTTACTCTGTTCCGAACCCTCTGAGGCGTCCAAACCCTGGCAAGGATTTGTTCATTCCCTCGGCCATGTCAGCACCCGCTCTGCGACAGGTTCTGAGGGTCCAAAGGTGAGCGAAGCCCGCTGCGGTCCACGGCCATGGTCTCCTGGAGAAGCAAGGCCCCTCAGTGGGCACATGTGATCCAGTGTGAAAATGCTTCAGTGGGGCGTGCTGGGCCCGTGTGGGGAGCCGCTGCTCTGCAAACTCAGAGACCACCTTGTGCAGGATGAGTGAGGGTTCACCAGGCAGCGGGAGGAGGGGTTGGAGGAGAGCATCAGGTCTGCCCCCGATGAATCTGGAAGGACAGGCCTGGGGGAGGGAGACAGCTGGGCAAGACTCTCACTGCCCCCTCCTTCCTTTTTCAGCCTCTGTGCCCCTGTCCCTGCCTCTTCGCCCACCTCTTTCCACAGTGTCCCTGTGTGGTAGGCAGGTACTCATTTCCCCAGCGGGCACCTCCCTCCTCACACTTCCTCCGCAGGCAGCAACCCTCTGCTCCGCAAACTCATCCT